ACCCCTGTTCCTGGATTTGAACTAGAAACTTCCCTTCCTCTTTGGCCTGTGAGAGGCCCTTGGAGACCCTTCTGTCTCCTGGACACCTGGAGTGGGGGTGTGGGCTCACGTGAGTGTGCCCACCGGAGCCCACAGGCCAGGCGAGTAAGTCAGCGGCCCTCATACCCGGAGGACGGCCGTGGGAGGACGGCTGCCCGAGGAGGACACTGCAGAGCAGGCCAGCCCTCCAGCCCACGCCAGGGAAGCCCCGAGGAAGGGGGAGGCTGGCTAGGGAGCTTGGTGTCCCGGCCTCTCAGTTCCCCTAGCCCCAGCATCTGACTGGTCAATGGGTTAAAGGCCCTCTGCTTGCCCACAGCTGAGCCTGGTGCCAGGGCCTGCTGTGCCCCTGTGCTCCTCCCTCCCTTCAGCTCCTGCTGCTGATCTACACCTGGAGGCCTCCTCCCCCCCCCCCCCCCCGGGCCTGGAGTTGTAGTCTTGGCCCGAGGGTTCCAGAGTGGACCCCAGATAGTAGCTGCCAATGCGGACACTACACTGTGGGCGGGAGGCCCCTCACAAGGTGAGAGTGAAGATGGGGACACTCCCCGCTGACAAGGGCTGGCATCTGGGAAGAGAATTCATTAATGGGTGCCCTATGGGGGTCTGAGTGAGCTGCTAGGGAGGAGGCTGTGGGGGCAGGGGTGGTGCTGTGCTCTTTGTCACAGAGAACCTGCTCCCTAGGGACTCATCAGGGTGGCTGGGGCTGGGACCGGCTGGCTCCAAAACCATCCGCCTCAGGTAGCCTACGGGAGCCAGCGAGGCAGGCTGTGACCTGGCCTGGGCCTCGGGGCCCTCACTGTGGGGGGCAGCCCCGCCCTACCCAATCCTGCAGCCCTCTGGCCTCCAGGCTCTGTCACCTAGAGGGGACATTCACAAGCCTTTGAAAATTTTAATGGTGTAATCAATGCACTCTCAGAACATAAGCGGCCACACCCCCAGATATCCTTCTTTGAAAACAAATCCATAATGTTTTCACTTAGCTTGTTCATATAAAAAAATGAAGCTTTGTCTAGTCCTGTACATCCATTTTGCTTTTCTCACTTGTTTTTTGATCTCACTCTTAGAGCTCATGTGTTTCCTCTGAGCAGTGACTAACAGGTGTCATCCAATTCTGCTC